CGTATCCAATCCTTACAATCCAAAATCCTTCGTAAAATCCTCACAGCTCCTTACTTCGTCACAAACAAAATCATCCATAACGACCTTAATGTTCCGTATGTTTCTGACTTTGCCCAATCCAGATACCTTTCCTTCCATAACAAACTTCACAACCATCCTAACCCTCTCGTTTCTAACCTTGCTTCCTTTTCGATCCCGGACAACCCTCCGAGGCGTCTGAAAAGAAGATGGCCTCGAGATCTCCTTTTGTAAATACATTTTTAGAGTGCTACCAGTGGGTAGTTTCTCAACAAATGATTTCATGCTTTTATATTCTTTTGTTCACATTTACTAAATGTATTTTTACTTGTAATACAGTTGTAAATATCATCAATAAACAGAAAAAAAAAAAATTAAGCCTGAAACAATGAGTATTGATCATATCAGATAACAATGATAGAAGATAAAAAGATCATAAAGCCAATAGTTATTTAGATAGTGTAATTTGATTCTCTAAAGCAATTGAAGAAAAATTAACACATTAAAAGGCTTCAGATTAATAATTGTTGATTTTCCTTTAAATTTAAAATATGTTAAAACTTAAAATAATCATAATTTCTAAAACTAATTGTTATTATAAGGCAAAATTTGATATTTTCTCCAAATGTTTGTATTTGCTTGATATATAATATTTTAAATTAAATACTGAGTGGTGGGTCTCAAATTTAAGTTTGGCAATGGAATAGGCCCATGACATAATTTAATAGGCTCAAATATTTTTGATAAATCAACTATAGTATCGATTTCACCATACATTTTTATTTTAAACTTTGTTAGTAACAAATTTATAGATTTTATATTATTCAATGGTAATATGTTCAGAAAGAGAACAGATAAAATAAAATGGATGGAAGAGCAATAAATTCAAAATCTAATAAATTATTAATTGGTTAATTACAATATGTATTGAATTGCTTTATTATAAAAATACAAATGATTAATTAACACATCCATATTGTTATAAGAAACTAAATAAAAATTTCAAAATAAAATTAAGATATGGGTATATAATACATTACAGTTATTTATATACTATATTTATTTAGTTCGAATTAAATGTACCGACGAATATTTCGATAAAGAGTTAAAGAACGTTAATATATACTCTAGAATTATGATTAAATCAATTGATGTTACTATGATTATTTTCCAGCAAATAAAGTGGTGGGGATTAAGACTTACGTCAGGTAGTCTAACATAACCGTTACCTAAATCTAAACAATCATTCAGAATAATCGTTCTATCCCCATCCTAAAAGCCTGCGGGCATCATCGAAATCATTACCCTTTAAAACTTATGTAGAATATGTAACCATTATAACTATATACCATATACTTGACTCCAAAGTCTATGTATGATATAACCTGTGTGTGCATATAATGTATTTAAATATTATGAATGTGCAATGGGAAAGAAAACAAAAATAATAAACTAAATTGAAATATTATAAAAATTATTTATTTATAACCTATTTTAAGTAGATAACACCAAACGTTTTATAAGTTTAAAACGTTGTTAAATATTTTTAATAGCAGACTGTGGTGTTGGTGTCGCATTCGATGATGCCATTCCTCAGCATGTCGATGCTGCAGCCCCTGCACTTACCGCACTTGCAGGTCAAGCCGTCGCCGCACTTCCCAAGATGGCTGTCCCGTCCTCCGCACCGCTGCCCGGGTCCGGCCATGCACTGCATCATTCCGCAGTTGTCCCTGGTGATGCCATACTTGCAATCTTCAGGTTCCACGTTGCACTCTTCCCCTCTGCACGGCTGACACTGGTAGTAACTATGGGTGTGCGCCAGAACCAGGAGGGACATGCCAGTGAGGATCACCAAGGAGTACATCTCGTTCTGTTGGATCTGTAGGACTGGTGTCTTCTTCAGCCCTAACGAAACCTTTTATAGTCTCCAAGAGAACCGATTGACACCTCATTATCGATTTATTTGCGTCTTAGGATGAACTCTAAGTGGTGGATAATTAAACGAATTAATATAATTTGACAGCTATCCTTGAAAGGATTATCAAACGGAAAGGATTGTTGTTTTTTGTGTAGGATGAAAAAGATCTCTTTGAATAATCAGCAATTCTTTTTAGATCTTTATAATGAATTGATAGAGGTGCTCACCAACTAAACTATCCAGGAGAGTAAATATAGTATGCGGATCTTAAGTTTAATGTAAAATAAAAAAAATAATAAGGTGTGTGATTTAGACCTAACGATAGAACTGAAAACATCAACTAAGCAATTTGATGAACATTTTCCTCGCTTTCAGTATGCAAGTCCGTATTTTAGTTTCTGAGATATTTTATACCTTATCTTCCATAAAACTAGTAATCATTCGATTTTCAACACTATTTTTCCCCTTTTCGCTTCTCTAACACGGGGAATTTTAAATATTTTTTTTAATTTTACCATGTATGAAACGATAATCTTGCCCCTTAATAATTTTATTGGAAGGAGAATCGCACCCTCGCTCCTCGGTAGCCTGCACCTATGATCTAGCCCAATAGAAATTCACTAGGTACTAGATACAGTGCTATGGCAGAAATCGTAATTTTTTTCACATTTTAAAACACTTGACATAAAAATAAATAATTAGAATAATTAATCCTTTCAGAGAGAGTAACGCTTTATTTTCATATAAAAGCTAGCTGTCCAATTATATTGGATTGCTAGATACACAGCATACTGGTTAATCATTTGGATAAAAGAATGAATCAATGAAATAAATAGAGCCAACTGGCGAAGACTTTTGGAGGAGCCCTAGACCCGTTAACGGGTTGTTTTATTAACTATGTATGTATGTATGTAAAAATAAAACCTGGTCTGTTGAGATAGGCACCAAGCAGAGCTTGGGCAACCCTCCCACTGGCATGTGGACAGATCTACATCACAAAATAACTCTGTCACAAGCAACAGTGAAAAAGGAATTCTCAATTGAAGAAAAATTAGGAGCAATTCATTTAACTCTTTGTAACAAATAATTTTATAATTGGGCATTCTTCATATATAATTCAAAGAAAAATAAGCCTGATCTGTCATGGATAGATGCATCTTAGGAATTTGTATGTATCCTCTATGATCAACTGAATGCCTCACCAACTTTATGTGGATGTTCCAGAACTCGTGAGACCATTAAAGCTTTTGAGGGTCTAATATCGACATACCTAAGGATAACGGAGTAGAAACTGTAAACAGTAGAAAGTTCTCTGAGGCTCAAAGGGCCTCTGATTCTAGTGGTTCGATTATTTTTATGTCCCTTCACTAGAAATATTTATGAGAATTCAAAACATACTAGGAATAAGGATAATTATTTAATATAAAGACTAAGAAACAAAAACTTGGATATTAAAATATTTCGAAAAATAAATTTATATATCATGATTTACTCCAATTGAGATTCTTTGTTACCTTACTGCGGCCAACATTAGAAATTTGGAAACTAAATTTTTTAAACATCTAAGAACAATGATTTAGGTTTATTCCAAGATCATTAACTCAGTTTCAGTTAATTGAACATGATTGAAACCAGGTCGAAGCTCTTGATTTTCAGTTTTACTGTATCGTGATTTCTGAATAGAAATGCAAAATTTGTTATAATCCCCTTCTTCTACCCCATAAGAGGAAAAGGAATCATTCAAAATATGTTGGTTAAGATTTCACAGTATGCCATTAAACCATGAAATTAGTTAACAACAAATCTCAAAGCCCTAACATAATTTTATATTATAAGGTGGATTAGTTATCATCCACAGTTATCCCAAACTTAATAACACTTTCCTAATTCCTCCTGGTGGCATATAATAGTCAAGGACTCTATGGCCAATCATACCAAACTTCAAAGAGAATCACACTTTCTACAAGGGAATTACAATAATACTAAATGGGAAAATGTTGAGAAGTTTGTTACTGAGGAAATAACTTACCTCAAACTAATGAGTGAATAAAACCATCAATACTACACAGAATAAGCTTGTACACATAGATAGTACCTAGAAGATCTCACAATAAATTCACTCTTTGAAGTGACAACTTACAATAATGAAAGGAGGAAAGAGGCAGTGCTGGAACTCAACATATTCTACACCTTAAAGTCAAGATAAACAAAATGAAACAGAAAGTCATATGTTTTAAATTGGCATATTACAGATAAAATTCAGAATAGTTGGATTTAAGAAGAGATTGCATTAAATCTCACAAAACAATATTGTTATTGGCACTACCAAACAAGCTTTCATTTAATGCAATGTTAAGAACATCCATAACATTATAACAAATAAAAAAAAAATGACCAAACATTTTTTGAAATTGAGAGTATATGACTAAAAAAAGAAAAGAGCACTGGTCCAGAAGAAATGATTCCCGAGTTCTTTATGAATTATTGAAGGTAGTATGAATTTATTGAAATGGCCAGTGTGCTTTGTTGAAGATCGTCTTTTAGATCTAGAGAAAAACCTTCAACCTGTTCTATAGTACTCCAGTACTTTAAAATTGGTTTGACTGTTTGAGGTAATTTTGTTATTATGTCAACGTATAGTAGTATGTCGACTGTTCAACATATCATGGTTGATAAATAGTCATGACACAGTTCTTTTAAGATTTTTATTGTGTTCTAGAAATCTTAAAATGACTGTGTCCTGACTATTTAGCTATCATCCAAAGGAAAGAAAGCAAAGATTCTAAATAAAAGATGAAAAAAAAACTGTGCCAGCATACAATGCCAAAAATGCCAGATTTCCATACAATTTTTCTGACAAGCATGTTATCTAAATTTTAAGGGGGGAATAAAAGCACTTCAATGGTTGAAGGAATGTCCCCCCGATAATAATAACAAACAGTCAACATAAACAAAGCACACTGGCCATGTTAAGTTGACCAAGAGTGGAGGATAATATTAATGACTAGACTAATAAAAAAAGAGGATCTGGCATTAGAACACTAATTCGAACAAAACATAATCATATTTCTTTATAGAAAAACATTTATTAAATAATAAAAAAATATTTCTCAAAAATAAAAATAAAATTAAATGGATTAAAGTCCAAGTCTGTTATAGCAGCTTTTACATCAATACAAAATGTTTACAACAAATAAAAAAAAATTATTTTTAAAAACAAATAAAATAAAAAAACTGTATATCTTAAACATTAAATCACTGTAAATTTATTTTTCTAGAGTAATTATACTATAAATAATCAAGGAGATCGTTAAGGGTGCAATCAAGAATAAAACACACAGTAAGTATAATATTGCTTTAATGTATGCTGAAAATATTATGTTGTAGTTTTTTTTCTTGTTCACACCACCAACCATCTTCTGATCAATCAGATATAATCAATTAAATCTATGGTCAACAATATCTTCAACATTCGGCTAAATAAGTATATTAATAACTGGATGCAACAAATTATAACAGAAAATTTTACAATAATTGAAAAATTGCCTAACAGTGTGAAACAAGCAAGAAATATAAAACAATTACACATATATGTAAAAAAATAAATTAAAAATACGAAATTATAACTTATTCAAAATGTAATCTTTAAATAACTTAAATAATAAATAATATAACTTATTTAATCTTTAACATATTAAAAAAATGAAGCCTTTGTTTTACTGACATAAAATGCAATTCAAACATTCACTTAATATTAAAATAAATTAAAATTAATAATTTAACACAGTCAGACATAATCACACTAAATTATTAGATTTATTTTTGTAACTTACACATATGACGTCTATTGACGTCCAGTCTCCAGTAAAAGACAATGATGTCCATACATGTCCTACACAGTTATAATAACTAATATAAAAACATATGTTTTTGAAATTAAAAGTTTTATTTTAAGAAGTAAATCTTAAAACTATCTTCTTTTTCTCATAAAAACTAGTTGACGTTTATAACTATCTTTTACCTATTAGAGAAATCAAAGTTTAACTTACTAATGAAATTTGAATATTTACTATTTTCTATGAAACTTATTCAAAATATATAATTTCATTCTGTAAGGATGAATTCTTAATCAAACTTCTAAAGATTTATAAATGTTAAACAATATTTGCTTTTAGCTTTCCTTGGGGTTTTCAGCATGGGTGTAAAAAGAGTAGACAATTCAAATTAATTTTGAATTATTCACTGAATTAATCTTGAAATTTCCACTTTAGCTAGGACAGGTTGGTAGCTTATGTTTTTAAATTAATAAATATAGATTTTAATGTATATCTAATAACTACTTTATTTATATTTTAAAACATTTTTCAGCATAATACTTAAACTTTTCAATACCTGAATCTTACTTAATACAAGTTAAAATGTTTCATGTGATGGATACAATCTAATATGTGATGCATTAAATGATAATGGAGAGTTAAGGAAAAAAATCCAGGTAAGAAAAAAACTCCTCAAATACTCTGTAAGAATGTCACAAGGTATTTTTTTTTTAATACCATTTGAGACAACTGAAAATCAATAGAGAGCATTATCATGGGCTAACAAGATATTATCAATTAATACCATAACATCATCGACGTTTTTTCTTATCTTGCTTTCTTGTTTTATGTTGAAAATTTCGGGGAGGATTCGCTGGGGATGAGTCCCAATGTTCTTGATCAGAAATGTCAGCATGATTCTACAAAATAAAAAGAGTTATTAATACTTATTTATCTTTAAATAAATCCATGAATGTACTAATATGGAATATTCATAAGATAAAGGTCAACTGCAGTAAAAATGTCCTTTTTTAATAGCAAATACACCATGAGCAGATATATCAATGTCAGATTAAATTTTTTAATGGATACCATCTTGAAGGTCCCACAGAAAAAAGGTGAATTGAATCATCTTTCATAAAGGAAATGATGTCATAGTTATAGCACAAAAGAAAGAAGAACTGTACCTAAGACAGAAGAACCCTGAACTACTGTAATACTATTATAATGGAAGAAAGAAATGGATGTGATTAAGAATTTAGCTGAATTTTGAATCTCTCATACGAGGACATAATACCATTTTCAGAGGAGTGGATACCAATTTTTCACAAAACAATGCACATAAACTACTCAAAAATTAATAGTGATGCATGTGAAAAAAATAACTTTGGTACTTTTTGTCTAAGCGGCCGTTTTGAAACCTCACTTCTTATCTATCTTATCTAAAGTCATGTCATCATGTCACATAACCTCCCTCTTCTTTTCCCGCCAAACTTTTGAGTTATTGCATTGTTTAGTTTTCAGATATTCCCTTATTACGTTCACTTATTAAATTGTTTACTTTTGGCCCGTTTGTGTTTATTTTTAGTTTTTGGCCCGTTTGTGTTTATTTTACATTTTTTTTTTAGTTTGTGACCCCTTGGTGTTTATTTTTCATTTTTTTTTTGTTTATTTTCGTCATATTATGGATCTTCTTAGAATATGGGATTTACCGCCTTCAGAAGAACAGGCAATTCAGTATTTCATATCTAACAGATGAATGTTTTATCGTCAAAATAATTGACAGAAAGGCAACATTATTACAAGCCATTAAAGAAAATATAGAAGAGGGAACGGCCATTTATTCCGACTGTTGGAAAGGATACAACACCCGACAACTGAACCAAGCAAACTATGATCATTTCCAAGTGAATCACCGGTATAATTTTGTCGATCCATCAACTGGGGTTCATACTCAACACATAGAACGATTGTGGGGCTCAGCTAAGTGGAGAAATAAAGTACATAGAGGAACTGCCAGACAACACCTCGATTCATATTTGTGAGAAATTTTTGTGGCGGTGGGTTCACAGAGAAGAGGACCCGTTCCTCGCTATTTTAAGTAGCATAAAACAATTTTGCCTTCCAAAATAAATAAGACAAAAGGAAGTGAATAATTAACTTAAAATAATTTGTATATACGTTGTTTATAGTGTTGATATTTTTTCTTTTCTATGTAAAATGTTCTTTTAAATTTGTTTTTTTAAATTTCATTTTGATGTTTTATATGTACATATCTTCTTAAAGTGTTTTTTTATTATTTCATTAATATATTTGTCGTCAAATAAAAGTATTTTTGTTGTTATTACATTTGTTTTTGTATCTGTTTACACTTTCAATAATACGAATTTAATACAACAATACGAAGATGTGAAGTAGAAGGCTTAGCACTGCGTTATGGGAGTTATCAGTGTTCAGGTTATAAACATTGGCAGATAGCAGTCAGTAGCGGCCACTTAGACAAAAAGTACCATAACTTTATATTAATATTTTTAACCTTTAAATTATTTATTAAATCAACAAAAAAATATTTTTAAATGCAAAATAAGCATTGAACTTTATCAAAAACATTAAAAATAATTCAATGAGGATTTATGTATTAGTTTGTATTCTCTGTTTTGGTTTTAAATTTATTTAAATAAAAATACTGAAGTTGTGTTAAGCTTATGTTACTTTTCAATCACACATTGGAAAATAAATAAATAATTCATGTTAGTAGCTTTTTTTTTTTTAATATAAATTAATATAAACAGAATAATGAGTTTTTCAAAAAGTGTAATTTCATGAACTTAAAATTTCCAAATGGGTTTCTCTTAGAAATCAGTTATAGACTGCTGCCAGTTTTATTTGTGACAAGTTGTTCTACTTTCTTAACTGTAGCTGATAATTTTGGTCATATGTAAACTTTACCATCTGCCAAAAATGTTCTCATCATAAACTATGAAATAAGTGGGGTAACTGTATCAATATCTTACTTTTAACTGACGTTACTCCCAGTACAGTCTGGCCACTGAGACGCCCTGGTGTGTACATCGGTGTAATTCGTTCATATAATAGACTCAGTTTACTTTAATTTAATTTTCAGTTCAGTTAAGTTCAGTTTTTTTTTTTCTTCTCTTTTTTAAAAAAACACTATTATTAATCACGCTATTAAGTGTCGGATCTTCACAATAATCGGAGTAAAGAAAACGCAGCGAGATTGATAGAGTTCTGGGAGCAACGAGCTGGCAGGCGTCTACTAATCCTAACAGCATTAGACGTTGTTTACTACCGTCAACAGTCTTGGTATTTATTTATATTTTAATTGCGAAGTAATTCTCATTAATAAATTTAAAAAATGGTGCAGTGTAATATTTGCAACAACTCTATCGCACGCGAAGATAAGAACAATATACACTGCGTTAAGTGTAAAATAATTTTTCATGGTAGGTGCGTCAACCTTAATGATAAAGACACCGAAGCATTAAAAATAATTAAAAAAACATGGGTTTGCTCTAACTGCGAACAGGTGAAAAAACAAAATACCGAGCCGTCCCCCTCAGAAATACTTGCGGCAGTAAATCGTTTAGACGCTACCGTGAACGAAGATATAAAAAACATGAAAACAGCACTAGATAAATACGGAGAGCTCAGTTTTGAACTAAACGAAAGACTGACGAAGATTGAAAAACATCTGGAAGGTCAAGCTAAAAAGTTTGAGGAGATACTATTAGAAAACAAAGCACTCAAATCCCGAGTGGGCGAATTAGAGGTTCGCTTGAATAACGCAGAGCAAGGACTATTGAGTAGATCACTGGAGATCCGCGGTATACCGGAGCGACCGGGCGAAACGCCCGCTGCTTTGGTGACCAGTATAGGAGCAAGCTTGGGGATCAGGCTTAGTGTGGAGGACCTGGACAACGTACATCGCCGCAGAAGCCGAAAAGATGACTCGCGACCACCGCCTGTTATCGCACGCTTTGTCAGGCAATCAATTAGAGATGATCTAATTACGAAAAGGAAAGTGAAGAGGGATTTCTCCACGCGGGATATCGGTTGGCAGGAAAATGACTGCCACCGAATTTATCTGGGTGAAGAGATGACTCGCACAAACAGACACCTCTATTGGCTAGCCCGGCAGAAGAGAGCGGCGGGAAAAATCAAATATACGTGGTTTGCTTCCGGAAAGGTGCGGTGTCGAAAAGAGGACGGACATAGAGTCATCCTGATAGAACAGGCCTCGGATCTAGATGTATTTGACTGACTACCTAGAAGCCGTCAACCCCTTAGCCTCATTAAAATAGTCTTACTTCTTCTCTTAGTGCTATCTCTACACCGTCACTCATCAATCTATTTATTTTCAAGTACATTCTCTTTATTTATTTTTAATGTTAATATTACTTTTTCTTCACTTAGTTTCATGTACGATAATCGCTTTTCTGTACTTTCTACTCGTTTTGTCTTCTCGCTACCAAACACTGACTGTTTCTCTCCAAATCCACTGTATGTCTAGTTCCCTAATCACATGTCAAGTTAACTCTCAATCACTTTCTGCCCATTATGACGAATTCCTGCAATACTTTACCCAAAACTTTTATCATATCATAGCAATATCCGAAACCTGGCTCAAACCTTATATTCCATCATCTTCAGTCTCCTTGCCTAATTACATCCTGCTCCGTCATGACCGGGTAAACCGGACTGGCGGTGGAGTAGCCATGTTTGTCCACAATAGCCTAAAGACCCGAATCCTCGATTGCTCCCCATCTTCCGATCATCCTCATGTAGAATACCTCTTAGTAGAAATTCTCAGTAATATTTCTCCTATCCTTTACGCCGTGGTATATCGCCCTCCTCTCGTGCCATTTGACCCGTCCTTCGAATCAACTCTATTCAACTTCGTTCCCCTCTATCCCAGAATAATTATCTCCGGTGACCTCAATACCAATTTCCTCTCAAACTCCAATGACAAATCCTATTTAGAAAATCTGTTTTTCTCACTTCACCTATTCATCGTTCCTTTTTCCTCCACCCACCACACCACCAGATCTGACACTTGGCTAGACTACTACATCATCGACTCAGCACAAAACCTCCTCTCCGCCTCTCAATTGCCAGTATCCTTTCTTTCATCTCATGATCTGATACAAATAACGTATAATATCCGCACTCCTCCAATCCATCCTCGAACTATCACTTTCCGCCAACTGGATACCCTTACTCGAGAAAAAATATTACCTGATCTAGTAACATTGGATTTGAATGGAATATATCATTGCTCCTCTGTCGACACCATGGTTGATATTCTCACCACCAATCTTCTCAATATACTCAATACCCACGCTCCTCTCAAAACCTCCACTTTCCGTCATCGTCCTGCTCCTTGGATGTGTCAGGAAATTAAGGATCTGCAGAAGAGACGCGACGCTGCACGCAGACGCTTCAGACGGACTAGGCTTGCAGATGATTATCAAATATTCAGAGTGCTTCGTAACACGACACAGACAAGGATCCGACAAGCGAAAGCGAACTACTTTCACGAAGCCCTTTCCTCAGCTCCTGATATCAAATCAAAATGGCTTCTACTTCGTAAGCTTTCCCTCTGTGAACCTTCTAGATCCCCTTCCTCAGTTTTCCCAATATCACCTGATGACCTAAACTCCCACTTTATATCGGTTTCCACCTCTTCTTTACCATCCCCTTCCGGCTTTTCTCCAGAGGTACCTTTTAACGACAATAATTTTTATTTTTCCGACATTTCTCCCACAGACCTTATTACCGTTATAATGAAATCCCGTTCCAATTCCGTAGGCCCAGATGGCATTCCTATCAAACTAATAAAATTATGTCTCCCTGAAATCCTCCCAGCACTCCTTTTCATCTACAATTTCTCCCTGCAGAATTCAATATTCCCGACCTCTTGGAAAAAAGCCATTGTCCTTCCTTTAAACAAAAAGCCTAATCCATCCTCTCCCGAAGATTTCCGCCCAATATCAATCCTTTCCAATCTTTCTAAACCCCTAGAAAAGTTAGTGCAATCCCAAGTTTCCAACTACCTTGAACAATCCAACCAACTCGATCCTCTCCAATCTGGCTTCCGTCCTGGCTACTCTACACAATCTGCTCTGATTAAAATTACTAGTGATATCCAGACTGCAATAGATGACAAAAAACTAACCATACTTATACTGCTTGATTTCTCCAAAGCTTTCGATTCCATTATCCATTCCATCCTTTTCAACAAACTAAAATCATTATCCTTCTCCAATAGTTCCATCTCTTGGTTCCAGTCTTTCCTCTCACAACGAACCCAAGCAGTTTCCATACCTAATCAACCTCTATCTGCCTACCTTCCTTTATCCTCAGGAGTTGCACAGGGTTCAAGCATGTCTCCTCTTCTTTTCAGTTCTTATATTAATGACCTAAATGATTCAATTATCCATTGTTCCCACCACCTTTATGCCGACGATTCTCAAATCTATTTATCCTTTTCTCCCGCTGAGTTATTGGTGGCATTTGCCAAAATTCAAGAAGATTTAGATCGAATTAGTGCCTGGGCCAACTTAAATGGATTAAGGCTAAATGCTGCCAAAACTCAGGCCATTCTCATTGGTTCCAAGCCCCTTCTTAGATCCCACACCAACTTTCCCTCACTCTATCTAAACAACCACCCCATCACCTTCTATCCCTTTGTTAAAAATTTAGGCTTTCTCATAGATCAAACCCTTTCCTGGAATCACCATATCTCTCATATATCCCGCCGTGCAATTTCTACCCTCAAACTATTCCATCACTTCCGCCATCTTCTACCCCAAAATACCCGTAGACTCATAGTTTCCTCTCTCATCTTTCCCCACTTTGACTACAGCTGTGTGGTGTACGATGGCCTCTCGGTGGAACTGCGTGATAGACTCAAAAGACTTATGAATTGCTTCGTAAGATTTGTAATTGGAACCCCGAGACGCTCCCGTGTCTCCCACCACTACACTGAGTTAGGGTGGCTCTCCCCTCCTTAAGAAGACAATATTTCCTTGGCACTTTCCTTTATCAAATCATTACCGATCATCGTCCTTCTTATGCCTACAACCTTCTCCAATTTAAGTCCTCAATCCATTCACTCACTACAAGATCCCGACCCTCTGACCTATACATCCCTTCTCATAGATCTGCCTCATTCCAAAATTCCTTTATAGCCCGCTCTGTCAACTTTTGGAATTCCCTCCCGATCAAAATTCGACATGCCCCTTCCCTGTATACATTCAAAAACCTCCTATTCCAATTCCTGTTCCAAAAACAGTCTGATACCAGCTAACTATTGATATTATATATGTATTGTGTAGCAATCATATAATCATAACACTTGGTAAGAGATAGTACATGCATTTCCTACTATCGACGTAGGAATTTCAATACATACATTTTTTTTTTTTTTTTTTTTTTATTCAATTATAAGTAACTGTTTATTTTTATATATATATTAAATTAAATTTTTTTTTTTTTTTTTTTTTTTTTTTTATGAAATGAACTCATTGTATCTCTTTTTCGTTCTTCATTTCTCAGTGTATGTTTATGTTGTTCAACCCTTAAATATAATTTTGTTCATAGTTCAAGTGATTCGTTCATAGTTTTAATTGTTTTGTTCATAATTTTAAATGCTCTGTACATAGTTTTATCTGTTTGTATATAGCTTGTGCACCTAAGGTTTTCTTTACTTTTTATTTTATTTTATCAATTTTATTTATTGTTCAACGTTCAGGCCAGTAATATTCTATTATTTTGTACATTATTGTTATTCTGAAGGGACTTAGTCCCAGAATAAAGTTTTTTTTTCTATCTATCTATCTATCTACAATGTATTAACCATAGATCAACCAAGATGTTTTCCATTTCTTGAGTAGCTGTGTATCAACATATCATGATACATGATTCAGATATTTCAAAAACTGGTATTTTATAAAGACTTCATGGTACTCTCTCAATACATCAAAAAAATTAATATTTAATATTTCTTGTGTGCTTTTGTAACACCAGTAGGCGCATGGCATAAGGAGTGCAGCATGTTTTTTTAGTAGTGGTTCATGGGCTTCCTGTGATTATCACAACATCCTGACACTTTGATTTGACAACCTGAAAACCAAGACTGGTGCATTACGTGCGCCAGTGTGCCCGCTGGAAGGTTAAAGACAATATTCTATAGAATATATTTTAGATGCTTGGTGAGGATTATATTTTTTAATGATGCACAGCATGGTCTAACAGATTTAACTTTTGAATGAGTTGCCAATGGAACTATCTGCAATTGTTTTAAGGAAATTGATATAACAGCTTATCTAAACAACAAATCTTCTCTAATGTATTATCATCAATAAAGACGGTTCTGGTAGAACCAAAGGTTTTTTGATGGGACAGATTGTCGAGCTATGTTCACAGATGAATTTAGATTTTGTCTTAAATACAATTTTCAGTGTCAAACAGTTTTCAGAAAAAGTGGTTTATGTGCTAGACCTCAAAACATTACTCCGGCAATGGCTATTGGTAGAAGTGATAACATGATATGGGTCAAGATTTACATAGATAGCTGTAAAATCCACCACATTATCAAAGAAGTGATTATCAATACTGAGACAAAATTATTAGTGAACGTTAACTATCTAACAGAGACTTTCTTGGCCAAGTATGTTTCTAGCCACACTGAGAAAGAATGGTTTTTGACACAATAGTCAATTTAGCTATAAGACATCCTTTCCTATTATAATATTCTTCAGGAGATACTGTTAAACAAATAGGGCACTTTATCCAATATAAAAAATTAAATCTCCATATTTTCTAAAAAAATTAAATTGACTATAAAATTAATTTTTTTCAAACAATTATAATATTCACTACTTTTTTTTTTTAAACTTCTTTACTAAGATTTACCAAGTAACAATGATTTCAACTTTGAATATTAATAAATAATAAGAATAAAGAGTTTCAGAACTTATCACTATTCACTTTGGAGTAGTTTATAATACATAGTGATGCCCAAAGATATATATACCTTCTTCTGCATAGTATCATTTTTCTTGTCAGGAAGAATTATTATAGCGAAAATGCAGGTAAGCTGAAAAATTGCACCTATATAAAGGCCAACACGAATAAGGAAGTCAGTGGTTGTTTCTGGAGGAATCTCAACATCCATGCTGGAACAAATGAAAAATAATAGATCTATAAAACATATTCTATTACATACATAATTCAATGGTTTCATTAAATAGCGATGAAACCATATCAATCGAGTAAAATAATTATTACCATATATTATTACCATATCAACCATAACAATAATTATCAATCTAGAATATTGATAATTATTACCCCCATATTACCATCAAAATAAAGTTCTGAAGATATTTTAGTCAAATTAGACTACATAGAATAAAAAAATTCAAATTATTGAAACTTGAGATACTAACTTATTCAAGTGTTCTGTATAACATACATGTCTCCATTGGTATGGGTCAAGTATGAAGTGGAGGTCATTTAACATTTTTTAAATATATTTTTAATAAATAAAAGTGTATTTTAGTATTTAATTTAATACATCTAAGGCTACATAAACAAAAGGTTTCTAATAATTAATTGGAGGTTAGGGGCAATCTATTCATAACAGACGTAAATTGAGATGTTTCACTACTAGCATGCTAAAATATTTGAAATTACATATAATAAAAAAAAAAAAAATTAAATAGAAGATAGTCTAACAATGAGCACACAACTAAAATTAAATAAAACTAAAAATATAAACTTATGCGATAAGCAATTAAAAAAAGTAGTAATATAAATATGCCCCTCATTGAATCACTTCGCACATCATCTGCCACCATGATGGTGGTAGACGATTCCCAGGGAGTCGAGGTTATATTTTCAAGTAACATTTCTACATCCTTTATATAAACACCAACTCCTTGTAGAGTTTGGTACAGTTCAGCAAGCTCTGAACCGAAGGCCTCTCAAGAAGAAGTCTCTCTCCCTGAAACTCTCGCTTTCTTTTAAGAACTTTTCCTTAAAGGAAGAAATGAATTTATCTTAGATTTTATTTTTTTTCTTTCCACCTTACCTACAATATCAGCATATTGCATGGGTCCATCCGTATCTACGCAGTAGAATTCCTCGAAACATGCAAAATCTCTCTCATTAAGGAGCCTTACTAGGTTTGAAAGAACTAATCAAGAGAAGAGATATCCAATAGAATTTCAAAGATGAACCAGGTGACCACCAGATGAACATAAACATTATTGGATACTGAGAAGTAGGGAAAAAGTCAAGATGCCTATATACAACTCAATACCAAAATACAACTCTATTCTTACATACAAGGATGAGGTGGGTAAAGTATATGATGAAGCAAGTCAGCTGGAACACTGGTACTGAGATGAAATTCTTACATCAATCAGAAAGAAAAACAAGCAACTTAAATGGTTAGGACATGTACGTCGAATGAACGAAATGAGAGAACTCAGGACAACAATGGAAGAAAGACCTATAAGTAATAGACAAAGTAACCACCCAAGGATCTCCTATCAAAAATATATTCAGAGGATTGGAGATAATAGAGGATTGAGAACACTCTAAGCCAATAATGGCTCTAAGATTAGGAGAAAAAACAGGAAACTGAAATAAACAGCGGTGCCTCCGATGATTGAGAATAGGGGATTTATAAAATTAATAGCAAAGAGCCCAGAAAATGTTTTAAAATGTTAACATACAATACTTAAGTCAAAACAAATTAAAGCTATAGAGATATCAATCACATAATCAGGTAAACAGTAATGTAATTCTTAAGAGGATATAAGTGGTTCATAGGGTTTCTTCTTGATTTATAAAAATGTAACCAACCCTTATTTAACTTGTAAAATCTATAGTTAACTGGAATTAACCATTAAATAAACAAAACATTAAAGAATGTTATTTTTTAATCTAGATAAACAGACAACAAAATTAATATATTCTCACACTGATATTATCGCTTCCTTGATTATACAAGTTACCAGTTTTTTTTTTAATGAACAAATTTATTAAGCACTAAGGGTTTTCATTTACAGCTGTACTTTAAAACATTGAAGAGACCAAAAGCCGTCTACTTGTCAAGTTTAAACTGAATCTCAGAAACAAAACAATCCAAAGAAGAAGGAGACAAGAAGCAGTACTGTGAAAAGTTGGTAGAAAAAGTAATAGTCAACTAATCTTAATCAATAATCTTTTTACTTAATACAAAATCATTCACGATTAAAATAAAATAGTGCATTTACATGAAAGTTTAGGTTTTGATAGCCAGTTTAAGTATAGCTTCATGAGTATTTTTTAATTTGACAAATAAATTGAAGTTAAATCTGGGTCTTCATCTGACAGGGAGGGGTGGGGGGAGAGGCTGTTTAGGAGGGACCCGAAGTACCGATGATGGCTCAGTAAAAATATCAACCATCATGATATATTTACCCACACATCCACATCTAAGCAGAGGAAAGTTACGGCCTTAGATATTCGGTGCCCCCAGGCAATGACGTTATTTCCCCCTCTGAAAAAAATTAATTTATTTCTCAAGTTGTTTTATACTATGTAATATTAGAATTTTATTTCATTCAAAATTCCTTTAATACAGTTGCTTTATTGAGTCCCTGAAGATCGCCCAGCGCCCCCCAACGGACGCCCTTCTAGGTCGGCGCCCCGGACGATTGCCCCGTTTGTATCGTACGGTCGGCATTTGCAGAGGGCCTGTACTAGTAATAAGCTACTGTACAGTTATGGGCAGGAATGCCAAGAAGGTGCTTTTTTAACGCAACTCGCGCCATTAAAATTTTTGAGAGGGAATATTTTGACGGTGTTATGAATTTCTGAGGGGGCACATTTCGAAGGGGTTATGAATTTTCATTCTGAAAATTTTCAACCCCGCACAGACCGCATGAAGTGTTATTTTATATGATGGACGATTTTTACAATTTTAATATCCCATGCATTGTTTTTAAGAAGAGATGAGCTGTAAAATATTTTGGAAAATGGGACTTGTACGGCGCCATCGAACTTAATCGATTGGTGAAAGCATGTAGTACCAGAGGAGATAAATAGCCACATGTACTTGAAAAGATTAAACTTTACATAATTAAAATATATGTCTTTTTGTCTATAAAAGATCTATTTGCTCCTGTCAACTTATTGTTGACAATCAGCAAATGTGATGGCGATACATGAAATAATGACATGACAAGTATGGGGTTAAAATATATAAAAACCGATAAAAAGGAATGAATTAAATACCGAAATAAAAAAATACTACTTTTTACTTCGATCGAATCAAAGTAGTAGATGATTAATTTTTCAGATCATTGCCAAAAAATACGATGACAAGGTTACGTTATTTTGGGTGGCATAAATATCAGTTATCTCATTCATATTTATAGAAAAAAAAAATAGTTTAACACAACTATTCATTAAATTTCTTGACTAATTAATCAGTATCAGAGAATCTACTGAATTAAATGGCAAATCGTTAGTTGCCAGAAGAGAAAGAATGGCAATTTCAGCTGCCCTAAGCCTCTTTGATAATTTGGATGGACGAAAGGAAGCTAAGGCTGCTTTAGTGATTTCACGTAATTATTATTCTTGGAGACTCACCATGTCTTATTAAGTCATGATGGTGGTTGTTGGACGTAGTAACAGATCATTTACAAAAAGGGACATTCGTTCCGATTTGATTTTTATGGTTAACCCAGTCAGAAAATTCTGGCTGGTAAAAGCAGGCCATATTGAAATTTTGTTTTTTAGCTTTCGTGATCTCCCAGAGGTGCTTATAGGTTTTTGAAGGGGCTGTAAAGTTTTGAGTATGCTGTGTGATTTAGCAACTCAACACAGTTGAGCATCCATGGAATTTACAAAAAATTCTTGAGATATTTTTTTAAATAAGAATTTCTTATTTTTTTGAAAATTGCGTTCACATAACGAAATAATAACTGAAAATAACTCCCTCAAATTTAATGCATCCATTATCATTATTAAATCTAAGGTATATTTAACTCTTAGCTCAGATATATAACATTGACTGTTATGTTCGTGAACGGCGCCTTGTTTTTAAATTGGAGATTTTATTGGTTTTTTGAATTTTTATAATTTTTCTTCAATTTATACTTTTTAGACTAAAGATATGGGTGAGTTATCCTTATTTAGAATTCTGAAATAAATTTCAATATGATTTCATTTTTTTTTTATGTTTTCTTATTCTGACACTGACATTCCTTATGATAGAATACATATTTTTTATAATCCCATACTTTTAGATTTTATTTTAAATATAATGTGATTGAATAGTTTTATAAACTTAACCATAAGTGTTCCATGAAACTTATGATGTAGTGATAAATTAACCAGTATTCATAAAGTAATACCTTCAGATTTATGGTGTTTATTGTATAATATTGTAATTAACTCCTGCTTTATCTACTAGCTTCAATTTTATACTGTATTATGAAGTATTATTGCACCTTTTTGGTTTTTAATGTTATCGAAAACCATCAAAAAGGTATCTGACGCTTACAAGATGATATTGTTTTATGTTTTCTGATAGATATTAGGTGGGTATAGGGTTGCCAGGTGTCCTACTTTTGCTAGGACAGTTCTATAATTCATATCAAATGTTCTGTATCCTACTTTGCTCACCAGGAGTCCTACTTTCGTTGGCAGTGCCTTTGATATTTCATCTTATTCTAGTATAAATTCCATATTTTACACTTCCAAAAGTTTAGTTTCTGACAAGACTACCTTTTTTATCATTTGTAGAACCCTTCTTTTCAATCATGAAATATAATTTGACCAATGTGGGAGAGGATCTGATAGTTGTTATGCAAAATTATTCACTACAGTGAATTTTAGTAAATAGTGTGTAATTTGTTTGAAAATATAAAGGTTATTATTGAGAAAGGCAAATTTTAGTGCTTATAATTGGAGTGGGCCACATTTTTAGATGATTAAAAATTTTTAAAGGATGGCTTATTTTTTTAGCATTTTCAATTCATGGGCATTTTAAAGTCAGGTAAGAATGGGAACAAGTTATACTACAATTTTTGTAATCCTAATTTCATTTGCAACATTTTTAATAAGAGTTGAACAATAAATTTTCATGTGAGAGTGCATGTGCCATCACCCTTGAGGGGGACGGGGAGCTTTTATGTTCATATATTCATTGTAATGGCATTACAGCCTGATGTGGACCCTGGACTCTGGCCTCCTCTCTGAGCCTTTACCAGGTGGTTCGATCCTGTGCAACCACTCTCCAATTTCGTACACCCAAAAGGGTCAGAGCATCCCTAATGACCGCGTCTTTCCATCTCAGCTTTGGCCTTCCTCTTCCTCTCGACCAGTCCAGTTTCCCCAATAGCAGTTTCTTTTCTTTCTTTCTTTCTTTTCTTTTTTAGGTGATTTCTTTCTCGTTCAGATTTGCTGTGTGGGCTGCCCATCTCAGTCGACCACATTTTATAAATTGAACGACATTCACTTCCCGAAAGAGTTCATATACCTCCCTATTATAGCGCCTTCTCCACTGGTTCCCTTCATTAATGGGTCCTTGGCAAAATCTTTCTTTCGAAGATAAGAAGATATTTCTCTTCTGAACTACTCAGGGTCCACGTCTCTGCAGCATAGGTTAGAACCGCTCATGTTAGTGTTTTATAAAGTTGGAACTTGGTCTGACGAGGAAAGGCCTTACTGCTACGGAGTTTTTTCTGCCCAAAATAGCAGCGATTGGCCTTCTGTATTTGTTGGCCGGTCTCAAGAGATATGGCATTTGAACACCTAATTGTTGACCCTACTTACGTGAATTGGTCAATACTTTCAGATGTTAACGGTCCAATTGTGACTGGCTCCTTGATTGAATTGTTCGTTCCTGGGCCAACTCTCATATATTTATTTTTTTTCTGATTGATAGTTATCCCCATATCTGCAGCTTCTTCCATTATATTAAGAAAAGCATTTTTAAAGGCTTTCAAAGATCTAGCTAAAATGTCTAGATCATCTGCATAGCCTAACACCTGTACCATCCTATCGTAAATGGTGCCTGTAGATTATATTCCAGCCTTTCTTATTACCCTCTCTAAGGCAAGATTAAATAATAAGCAAGCTAGGGCATCACCCTGTTAAAGTCCTCTCTCTGTGATGAATTCGGGAGATAAATCCAGTTGCACCTGGACTGCATATTTAACATCATTCATCGTAATTTGGATTAGATGGATGAGCTTGGATGGGATCCTAAATTCACGCAAGGCTTCATAAAGCTTAGGCCTCGTAATGCTGTCATAAGCACTTTGGAAATCTATAAGGTGGTGTGTGACCATCTTATACTCCATACTTTTTCCAGAATCATACTCACTCCGAATATAAAATTTACTCTTTCTAAATTCTGACTGATATCTGCCAATTGCTCGCTCAGTGAATGGAAAGAGCTTCATAAAAAGAACATTGGAAAGCATTTTATATGCACATTGTAGGAGGAGGCCACGATCATTGTCACATTTCAAGACATCGCCCTCTTGTGAATTGGACATATTATACTTTTTCTCCAATCATTGGGTATTCTGACTAATCCAGATTGTCAAAATTATATCGTAAATGGTTTTATGCAGTTTTTTACTTCCCTGTTTCAGAAGTTCTGCTGGAATTCCATCATCACCCAGAGTTAGTTGTTTTTAAGATTATTTATTGCTTCAATGACTTCTTCATATTCTGGAGGATTAATATCTTCTTCTCGCCAATGTCTATGCCCGATACTGCTTCAATCTCAGCATCTTCATTTAGCAGTGAGTTAATGAGTTGAAGTGTCTTGCCCATCTTGTCAATACTTCAGCCCGGTCTGTTATTAAGGAGCCATCCTCATTTCTGCAAGCCGTTATATGAGGTTTGAATGGACCTTTGCTCTATTTTATCAACAGGTAGAACATTCTGACATTCAAACCTCTATATTTCTAAATTTTTTCAATAAGGTGCAACTCTCACTGCTTTTTCTTTGTTCTATGGGTCCTCTTCTCATCTCATCGTTTGGCCCTATATTCCTCTGAAGACAGCTGTGTATGCTTTTTTTGAATCATGTTCTTATAGGACTTGTTTTTACTCTCTGTGATAGCCACACATTCAGTATCGAACCATGGTGATCTTTTCATTTTCTCAGATGTTCCTAAAGTTTCCTAAGCCACACATCTGATTATTTGTGAGCTTACACTCTATTTGTCATGAGCTGAACCCTCAGTTATTGTTTCCGCAAGAAGTTGGTCCAATTTTTTCTTATATGCGTTGCTTGCTTTGGGCTTCTTTAGCTTAGAAGTGTTTATTTTTTCTTGTTTATTGCCTCGCAGCTTTCTTGCATTGGATATTAGTGCTCTGATTTTGGATATCACTAATTAGTGATCATTATCCATATATGCACCTCTATATGTTCTGCAACTGATAAGGTTCGATTTGTGCCTAGCGCTGATTAGAACATGGTGTATCTGATTAACAACCATATCATCAGGTGACCTCCACCTTTCTTTGTAAATATTTTTTCCAGGAAACATAGTGCTTCCAATCACCATGTCCTTAGATACCGCAAAATTATTTAATAAATTACCATTTTCATGAAGAATGTATTTTCCTATTATTGGTCTATGGATAAATTCCCTTCCTATTTTTGCATTTAAGTCTCCAAGAACTAATTTAATATCACTTTTAGGGCAGCTATCTACCGTTCGATCCATATGTTCATAGAAGGTTTTTTTATTCTCTTCTGGTGAAACCTCTGTTGGAGCATGACAGCTAAAGATGCTGTAGTTATAAAATTTTTCTTTGATTCTCAGAACACAAATCTGCACCATATTTGCGCCTGTGTGTACCCTGGTTAAAATATGCCTAGAGTATCTGTACCACTGACAACCCATGAAGGGTCTTGGGTTCAGAACGATGTGAGGAAGTAATGTTACAAGGCCAACGGTTGTGCAGGTAGGTGATTGAGACAATATCATGCTCAATCGCCAGGTGTCCCCCCTTAATTAATCATTTAATTAAGAGTTCCCACTTTATAGAGGCTTGGTGTGCCCCAGGAGGGTCTCCTGGCCCAAGGGTTGATCCAAGGCTGATGAAAAATTACTAGTCATCAGCCAGATTCAAACCTTGAGCTCTGGAAGTCAGTGCTCACCCACTGAGCTACCCCGCTCCCTATGCCAAGAGTATCTAAAAACATAAATTTGGAAATTACTCAAAATAATCTGTTAATTTATGAATTATTAATTTTACATTTGTAATTAGTTTTATGTAATTTTAAAAGTTTCATAAATAATATTATAAGGTTTTGTTATTAAAATCAATACCCAGAGTATTAATTTTACTGATAAAAATATATATCATTTTTCATTATAATTACATTGTGTCATAAAATGTTTACCTGAAGTAAATTTCCGTAGCTAGCATCTGCTGATGTGTTATTGGCTTACTTAACCCTAGGTATGAAAATGTTGAATTTTCCGAATAATTATTATTACTTCCATTTCATTAATCCAAGATGAGGGCCGGTTTCCAGATCATCTAGAGCATACTATTTTTTTATTTTTGAGAATACCTGAATGTAGAAGACGCTGACTGATCCTCAACCCCTTGATAGTAAATTCCCTGCCATTTTAGTCAAACAAGATTAAATCTAATCTTTTTACCTTGTCTTTGTTTTTCTAAAAGCTGCCTCAGAGTAAAAATATGGTTAATACAGGACCTGTCTAATGTAAATCCACTTTGCTCTTCAGCTTGAACATTCTGTTTTATTTTACTAATTGTGCTTTTACTATTTTTCTAAGCAGTTTCATGAATGGACTTGTCACACAGATGCCTGTATAATTTTCACATTTTTTCTGTCACCTTTTTTGAATATTGGTGTCAAATACTTACTTAACTTCATTTCTTGAGGTATGTTTCCATCTTTTAGGATTTTATTAATAAGGTCTGTAATTATTTCAGTCACCTCAACTCTGCCATATTTCAACAGCTCTGCACGTACTCCTCTCGGACCAGAGGCTTTCACATTCCTCGGTCTTTTCAACTCATCATTGACTTCCTGATGTACCACTGTATAGTTCTGCTTCTTCCTCTATGAATTCATTTCCAGTTTCATTCAGAAGTTTTTCATAATAACTATCCATTTCTGCATTTCTATTATATTCAGTTGTGTTCTGTGTTTCTCTTCCTTCCTTAGTCTCTTAAGCCCTTACCATTCTTCAGTCACTTGTCCAAATCGTAACCTACTGTAATCGTGCACATGTCCTTTTCCACCAGTCATTTTTTTTCTGATCTCACGATTCGCACAAGTTCTCTTTTCTTTTGTCTGTAAATTTCCCTGTCACTATTTTTTTTTTTTTTTTTTTTTGTTCCCATCCATCTGAGATATGCTTGTTTTCCTATGTCTTTTGAGACCCATTCCGTTCTTATTGTATATATACATATATATATATTATTATCTTTTTTATTCTCGTCTTTGCGGATTTAAAGCTGAAGGTGGGGGGCAAGTCCACCTGCAGTTATAATATTTTAGATATTTAAAAATTTTCTTGTTATTTTCGCTGTATCCAAGAGAACCGCTTGCTGAGCCTCTATTAACACATCAAGGGGTAATTCCAAGCCGTCCGTACCTGCAACCGTTGACTTTGGGATCAGACCATTGGTTGATATTATTATTGGTGTAACTAATACGCTCTCCAAATGGTACAACTTCTTTAATTCGATTGCCAGTTCTTGGTACTTACGGAGCTTCTCTCCCACGGTCGTGCTTATGTTGTTATCGTTTGGAATCGCGATATCAATTAAGTTTGCCATCTTTGCTCCTAAATCCACAATAAGGATATCGGGTCTGTTGTGACGCACTGTATGATCTGTTATTATAGATTCGTCCCAATATATCTTGAGGGAACCCTTCTGAAGCAGCCTTATCGGATTATATTTGTAATATGGCACCTGTTCATCCATCAGGTTAAGTTTCACAGCCAGAGTTTCGTGGAATATTTTCGCCACATTGTTGTGCCTCTGCAGATACTCCGTACCAGCGAGTACTCCACATCCAGCTGTGATATGTTTGATTGATTCATACGTCATTGAACAAAGTCGACATTTATCAGATGTAGTATCTTTAAGAACGTGCCTCCTATATGACCTGGTGGCAATGACCTGATCTTGAATGGCGACTACAAAGCCTTCTGTTTCAAAGTATAGCCTTCCTGCCGCTAACCATTCAACCGATTTTTCTTTGTCTATGGAGGCTTCATTCAATTGGCTTATATATTATTATTATTTCCATTCTTTATTCTCGCTTTGCGGGGTAAGTTTCTGAGGTGGGAGACCAGAAGTCCAGCCACTTCAGATTAATATCTATTACTTTTTAGATATTTAAAAACTTTCGAACAATACGTGCCGTATCCAAGAGAACTGAGTGTTGAGCCTCTTTCAGCACTTCAAGAGGTAATTTTAATCCCATCGTGCCTGCCACTGTTGTCTTTGGTATCAATCCATTGGAGGATATTATAATTGGAGTGGTGGTGACGTTCCCCAAATGATACAATTCCTTCAGTTCGATTGCCAATTCCTGGTATTTTCTCAGTTTTTCTCCAACAGTGGAGCTTATATTATTATCATTGGGGATCCCGACATCAATAAGCTCTGCTCTTTTCTCTCTCATGTCTATCAGAAGGATGTCTGGTTTATTGTGACGCACAGTATGGTCAGTTATAATCAATTCATCCCAGTATAGCTTGAGACTACCTTTTTGGAGGAGTTTATTTGGGTGGTACTTATAATATGGAGTTTTGTCATCTAACAAGTTGAACTTCACCGCCAGAGCCTGATGAAAAATTCTAGCCACATTGTTATGCCTCTGGAGATACTCGGTGCCAGCCAACACTCCACACCCACCTGTGACATGTTGGATTGATTCCAGCGTCGCTGAGCATAATCGACATTTATCTGTAGTTGTTGCGTCTTTAAGAACATGCCTTCTATATGATCTAGTAGCAATAACTTGGTCTTGGATGGCGAGCAGAAATCCTTCTGTCTCGGAGAATATTTTTCCAGCTTTCAGCCATTCAATGGATATTTCCTTGTCAATCGAGCTATCGTTTAATTTGCTGTAGAATCTTCCGTGCAGAGATTTATTTTTCCATTCTGTCAAGCGTTCATTTTCTGACACGATTGTGGAGACCTCACGATTGCTCAGGTTAAGTGCGGTTAGACCATAATCCAATCTTGAGATTGCGAGGTAAACCTCGGTTGTTTTTGTAAGAAAGTATTGGCGTAGGGCCGCTTCCTGCTTGCGGCAAGCTGCTTCGATATTTAGCAAACCACGTCCTCCTTCTTTCCTAGGCAAATACAGACGATCTTTGGAGGATATTGGATGGTGGGCCCGTTCTTGTGTGAGAGTTGTTCGCACAAGGCGGTCGATCTCCTGTAGGCTGTTGTTTGACCAGTGCAATATGCCGAAACTATAACCGAGAGCAGGTATTGCCCAGGTGTTAATAGCCTTGATTTTTTGTTTCCCGGTTAGCTGGGTTTTGAGCACTTTCCGCAATCTAATTTTGAACATTGTCAGAAGGTCTTGTTGCATGTCTTTTCTTGAAATTTTAAGATGTTGCTGCATTCCCAGATATTTATATAACCTATTGTCTTCAAGCTCCCTGATGTACTCTTTTTCATTGATTAGAATATTCTGCATACTAACCACTTTTCCTTTGGTTACATGGAGCACCGCACATTTATCCAGACCGAGTGACATGCCTATATCACTACTAAAAGATGAAACGGCTTTAACCATACTTCGTAATTGGTCTTTGTTTTTCGCATATAGTTTAAGGTCATCCATGTACCAGCTGTGGCTGACTGTGGTGGCTTCGTCGTTGATGATTAATTTGTATCCCATCTTGTTCTTTCGAAGAATCCTGCTTAGTGGGAACAAAACCATACTGAACCATAAGGGGCTTAGACAATCTCCTTGGTATATTCCTCTCAATATTTTAATTTGATTCCCTGTGCAGATAGTTCCAACTTTCAGCGTAGTTTTCCATCCTGTCATTAAGTTTGAAAGGAGCCTGCTTACTTTAGATTCAACCTTGTATATATCTAGTACTTTAAGTAGCCAGCTGTGGGGAACCGAGTCAAAGGCCTTTTTATAATCGATCCATGCCATAGAGAGGTTTCGCTGTTTTTTCGCAACTTGTGCTGCAATGAACGAATCTATTACTAGGAGTTCTTTACAACCCCTAGCACCTTTTTTGCACCCTAGCTGTTCTATGGGTATCATATTCTCACTTTCGAGATGCTCATATATCTTAGTTGCCAAGATGGAAGTTAGAATTTTATACAGACCATTTAAACACGTTATCGGCCGAAAATCTTCAGGACGCATGTTTAAGTCATTCTTTTTTGGAAGCATATACGTGATGCCTTAATATTATTATTATTATTATTATTATTACATATGCCAATATTATCAATAAGGATATTGATATTTTATTCATTAAATATTAATCCACATTATACAGGTAGAAATAGTCATGTATATTTTTACATTGCTGTTAAGTTCTAATGTTATATTCTTTTTTTTTTTTTTTGTCATCATAGTCTTCTATCTATTTAATGTATGCTTAAAATAATTAATTACCTTTTTGTTTATTTTTCAGCACTTTATATAAAAAGAAATTTATCTTTCTGCGGCCAAAACAATAGTGAATCTTTTATGTAGGAGTGACTTAAACTGTATTTGAAATAAAAATGTCACCATTAATTGGAACCAATATGTATTTTTGTTCCTTAAATTTTGGAAGGACTACTTGTGCCTCCAGATCTCTATTCCGTTTAATTCCTCTACCCAAAACAAGCATTTCATTACTTACCTTGGATAATCGAAAAAATCTTTCTAAAAGGAAGCCTTCTAAAGAAAGATTTTCTATTAATAATAAACCTAATGGAAAACTATTTACACGTAATGAAATAACAAAAAGAGGAAAAATAATCTTAGAAAATATAGGCGCTGCCAGGTCTTCAATTAAAGAAAAGATGGATGCTATAGTAGAGGTATAATAATTTTTTTTAGCTATAAGGTTTAAAAATGTCAATGTGGATCTGTAAATGTTTGTTATTAATAAAACTAGGTATATAAATATTTAGAAAATGCATTACCAAAAATATGTTTTACAAATTTACTAAGTCAAAAAATATTTTTAGAAAATAAATGAGCTAAATCAAATACATTTAATTTCATTTTATATTGTATATGATATTTATCTTATGAAAATGTATATTTATTTGTTCTTTGTTCTAGAAAGAAAATATATGGACAATACCTAATATCCTTTGTTGTGCTCGTATTATTGCATCACCGTATTTAGGTTACTTGATTTACCATGAGGAATTTAATACGGCTTTTGTTATTATGTTGCTCGCTGGTTTAACAGATTTGGTAAGTATTACATTCAGTGGTTTACTATTTTGCTTGCATGGTAGGTCAAACCCAATGGGTCCCTGATTTTAATCTTATTATTGTTTGGTGATTTTATATCTAAAAATGTTGGACTCATGTCCCAGGTTATTTAAAATAGGTTGTGAGATATTATTGCTGAGTGTGCTGTGTGCAAAAGTATATAATAGTAAATTATAATGATTGCTAATTTGAAGAAACTTCTATAAAGAAACCATTCCTATTAAGCTGTTAAGCTTACCAGGTGTGGTGGTTAATTAATTTCTCTAAGAGATGGCGCTGGAAACAAAGATTGTTTCACAGTAGCCCCAACACTACTGTTTACTGACAGAGATTTTCATAGATCCAACAGTGACAGCTCCGGGAAAATCAAAAATTTGTCACATTGTCAGAATTCAAATGAACAATGATTTGTCACGGCGGCTCCTTAGCGACAGCATAATTTATATTAAAATAAAAAATAGATGTATTATGTAGGGCCTACAGTGATTTCACAGCGCCAACAGTGATTGTCACTGTTGAGTACAGAGATTTCACAACACCTACACTGACTGTCACTGTTGGATCACAGTGATTTTACAGCACCGTGATCAGAAGTGTGATTTTGCAGTGCTTATCAAAGAAGTTATTCCAGTCAACAAAAGGGTTGGAGAGTGCATGAAGGATGGACAAGCAATTGGCTTTGAGAATTTGTTAAGGACACTTAGGAGGTAAACATACTAAAAGTCCTTATTTCCACCCCTTCCGCTTTATGGTGGGGGGCACCTTTATAGGTCACTTTTTCCATATTTTCTTATATATCTTGAAAATGTGGTGTCGCAGATGAAACATTGTCGCATAAGAAATTAAAGCTGACAAAATTTCCTTTAAGAAAGTATGTATTCATTACTTTCACATGTTTTATAGTTTTCGAGATATTCACTACCTTAAATTTCCTATTTTCAAAAAATACCAAGGATACTTTGACCCATTTCATCTCATGAAACTTTTTGAAATATTTTTGTACATGTTATAACGAACAATATTGATTTTAATGAAAAACATATTTATTTATGAAAAAGTTTTATTTATGTATTTGGTTAACATATACTATACACTATTCATGCTCAAAAATAAAGATATTATATTTTCTCATATGGATTGACGAAATTTATCAAAATATTAAAAATTTATGTAACTTCAAACTCATAAAAGGTAAATTAATAAATGATTTATACATTTAAAGAAAAAACTATATTCTACAACTTTCTTGCAGAACGAAAAGCCGTGTTATTAAAAAGACAAGTCTGACAAAAAACGTGAGACGAAAACAAAATTTTTGATAGTAGGCAATTTAAGGTAGTGAATATCTCGAAAACCTTAAACGATGCAAAAGTAATGAATATATACTTTCTTAAAGGAAATTTTGTCAGTCCCCCTCCCCACCATGAAGCGTAAAGGGTAGGGGCAGGGGCTTTTAGTATGTTTATCTACTAAGTGTCCTCAAAAGATTCCCCAAGTAAATTACTTGTCCATCCTCCATGCACTCTACAAGCCCTTTTTTGCTATTCATTGACTGGACTAAGTGCTATTCTCAGTGCTCTGTCCGGAATGCTACTCATTAATTCAAGTTAAGTGATTTTTATAATTTTATTCGATTACAATTTTAAATATTTTTTTTTGTTTAACAGAAGTAAGTATATTATCTACCTGTAGGCCTCCCCTAAGTAAGGGTATAAATTAAATCAAATTAATTAATCAAAGTAAAAATATGAGAAAGTAAATATATTTTTTTTTTTTTTATTTATTCATGATATTTACAACTGTACTAAAAAATTAAATACATTAAGTAAATTTGATAACAGAAAATAATAACATGAAATGACTTGTTGAGAAACTACCCACTGGTAGCACTCTAAAAACAAAATGTATTTACAATAAGAGATCTCGAGGCCATCTTCTTTTCAGACACCTCGGAGGGTTATCAGGAATAGAAGAGGAAGCAAGGTTAGAGACGAGAGGATTCGGATGGTTCTGAAGTTTATTATGGAAGGATTGGTATCTAGATTGGGCCAAATCGGAAACATAAGGAACATTAAGGTCATTATGGATTATTTTATTGGTGACAAAGTGAGGAGCATTGAGGATTTTCCGAAGGATTTTGGATTGTAAGGATTGGATACGAGAGGAATTCGATGGCTTAGTGGAGCCCCAAAGCTCAACTCCGTAAGTCCAAATAGGTCTTATTGTAGTCATGTATATAAGTCTTTTGTAATTAACTGGAAGCTTAGAGCGTTTTTCTAGTAAGTGTTGGAGTAGTCGGAAACGTCGAGCGGTTTCTTGTCGTTTCAGTCTGGTATGAGGATTCCAAGTTAGACGTTTGTCCAAGTGAAGTCCAAGGTATCAGATTTGTTCAACAGGGATAAGTGGGGTATTATTAAAGGATACTGTGGGACATGAGGTCATAGGTTTACGTCGAAGGGTAAAGGTGATTTGATGGGATTTATTAGAATTTATTTTAATCCTCCAGTTTTGACACCATTCTTCAAGGCTTGTGATGTGCGATTGAAGAGTTTGGGATGCAATGGTTGGGTCATTATTAACGGATAGGACACATGTATCATCGGCATACGCGGTAATAACAGTGTTAGGATGTGTTGGGATGTCAGCTGTATAAACTGTGTAAAGGATAGGACCAAGGATACTACCTTGAGAAACACCAGCGGACTGGGAAAAGAGAGATGAATAAGCATTAGTGTGATTGACTTTTGAGTATCTATCAGTTAGATAGGAACGGATGATGAGGAAGTATGTAGGATGTAGGAATTTACGAAGTTTGTAAAGTAGTCCTGGGTGCCAGACTCGATCAAAAGCCTGTTCTACATCGAGAAAGACTCCCGTGCAGTACGTTCCGCGCTCTAATGCAGAGGAGACAACATCCACCACACGATGGCATTGCTGGATAGTGGAATGGGATCTGCGGAATCCAAACTGGTGATCTGGGATTATGTGATTAGAATCTAGGATTGGGTACAGGCGTTTTAGGATGAATTTTTCTAGGACTTTTCCCATGATGGATAAAAGAGAGATAGGACGGTAAGAGGATGGGTATTCTGGTGGCTTTTTGGGTTTATGTATCATTTTGATAATGGATAGTTTCCAAGGATCAGGAAAATATGTGGATCGGAGTACAGCATTATATATATATATATATATATATATATATATATATGTAAGGAATAGAATGGCTTTCCGAGGAAGTAGTTTTAGGATCTGGGATGTAATTAGGTCGTGTCCAGGAGCTTTGTGGGAAGGTAACTTGTGAATGATGTTGGATATTTCTGAAGGATGAAAGGCTTTAGGAGGAGGAGTCATTTGGAGTGGGATATCCAGTTCTGCTTCAATACATTCAAGGTGATTTGGGTTAAGAATGGTGGGATGTGGATTAAAGGTTTTAAAGAGGTGGTGAGCAAATATTTGGGATTTTTCTTCGTCGGATTTGGACCTGGTTTGGGCTTCAGTGAGTAGTGGATGGTTGCAGTCTTTAAATTTCAGGAGCCTTTTAGTTGTCGTCGATAGTGATTTATTGGTAGGTGTATGTTTTTTAAAAATTTAGTAAATTTTGAATTTTGTATTTTCTAATTTCTGACTTAATTATAGTTTGGGAGGAGGAAATTTGGGAGGTGATAAATATATCCAGGATATTGGGACGTTTTTTGAGGGATGTTGGCCAATAAGTAGAATCCATGGACGAGAGGATTGAATAACTATTAGAAGATGAGACACGGGAAAGGATGTTACCGCGGGAGTTGGATGTTCGACAACCCCACCGTTGGTGTTTAGCATTGTGATCTCCTCCAGCAATAAAGTGCGATCCAAGGGGTTGGAATAACGTATCAAGGAGATTAAAGGAGAGCGAATTACCAGGAGGACAGTATACAGTTGAGAATGTGAAATGGAAAGGGCGAGTTGAAAGGATTACAGAAGTTGATTGAATGGCGTCGGTTGGAGTGGAAGGAATAAGGGAACGGGGTAAAAATTTATGGATAAGGATACAAGAACCGGCGTGGGCAGTGTTGTCTGGATGGTCAGATCTATAACTGATGTAGTCTCGTATGTGAAAATCTGTCCATTTAGTGAAATGCGTTTCAGTCAGTAGAGCTATATCAATGTGATTGTCATGAAGAAATATGTCAAGTTCGTCACGGTGGTTGTGTAGTCCGTTAGCATTCCATAAAAGGATAGTTAGGGGCTTTGTGCTCATCGAGGGAAATTAAACGGAATTTCGGTCAGGATTCTAGTTAGTAGAGTGATAAGAGGTTTTATGGTGTTTTGGAGGTCCAATAGGAAGGATGATAGAATGGAAGTTAGATCAGATGGATGTTGATTGTGAAGTGGATTTAGGATAGGTTCAGGTGGTGGGTGAGGAGTGTTAACTGAGAGTGGGATTCGTTGTTGTGTACGAGATGGGTCTGGATTCGACGATACTTGTGCTGGTTTTTTTTTCTGGACATTAGGATGAGATGGGTGCGATTGGTGTGGCGGTAATTTGACTCATAGAGGTAGATGATGAGGGGAAATTTGCTGACGCGGAGGATGAAATATGAGAGGATTGGGAGTATGAGGTTTAGCTTGGGAGGCCTGAGGCGCCTGGGGTCGAGGCTGCTGCTTCTTGATGGTGGTATGTGTGCTAGTTTTGGTAGAGTCCTGATGAGGATGGGCGATTTCAGTTGAAGTAGTTGGTTCTTGTTGTGTTGAATGGGTAGTTTGTTTTGGCAACTCAGGGAAATTTGTAATATCAATTTCTGGTGGCTGGGTGTAAGTTTCTTTGTTTAGTTGGCTGCACTTTAAGGCTATGTTATGAGTTCTTAACTTATAGTATTTTTTATATACTATGCATCCTTCATAGCTTGCAGGATGGTCTTCGCCACAGAGAGCACATTTAGGAGGCTGGTCTCGAGGGATCTGACAAGTGTTAGATGCGTGTGGCCCGGCACATCTAA